AATGCTATTGTTGAATTAGACAGTACTGCATTTACTAAAATAATGAAGAGCGTAGAATTAATGTGGGTTGGGATAGATGTCTTGTTTATGAGAGTTTTAATATAATGAGGTGCTTTAAGTGCTGGGGCTCAATCACAAAGCAAGTGTATGTAAAGAAAATGGAGTGACTTCTGCAAAATGCAGTGAAATTGGGCACTCTCATAAAGAGTGTGTGAGCAGCATTGTAAAATGTATAAATTGCGTGAAGATGATAAAAACTCGTAATCTCAAGGACATCTCTACAGATCATGATTGCAGGGATATGAGCTGTATAACTTTACAACGAAGACTTAAATTTGAGGCAGATAAAATTAATTATCAATCATGAATGATCATAAAACATTCTTTGTGCTCAAAATAATAATTTCAATATAGTTCATTTTAATGCCAGAAGCCTAAATGGTCTTAAACTTGATCATGGAAAATCAGTGTTTGAAGGCTCCAGTGTTGACATTATTTGCGTTTCTGAAACATGGTTAGATAATGAGATCAGTAGCTCATTTTTTTCTATAAAAGGTTATGTTTTATATCGCCATGATAGAAAAAACAGAAAAAGAGGTGGAGTTGCAATTTATTGCAAATCTTATTTAAGTAGTCAGTTAATAAGTATTTCGGATGAATCAGATATTGAATTTATTTATGTGTCTATTAGCTGTCACAGTAATAAAATTTTAGTTTCCTGTGTCTACAATCCACATAACCGATTCTCATGCGATCCATTATTCGACTCGCTTCTCTCAGTTGTACATAAATATGATTTTATCGCATTACTTGATGATTTTAATTATGACTTTTTAGTGAATTGTAGTAAAGTCCTGAAACTAAAAGACTTATTAGCCATAATGGGCCTAAGTATCATTAACGAAAGATATAGTTGCTGTATCGGATCCTAATAAAGTCTTACTATTTAATCAAATCTCCTTTATATCTGATCATGATTTACTGTTTGCTACATTGGATTTTAACCCAAACAGGAAATCTAGTCCTAGCTCTTTTTCTTACAGAGATTTTAAATCAATTGATACAATCAGATTATTTGATGAACTAAATACTGTTGATTGGAGTGATTGCTGATTTGCTTCAACTTCTGACGATAAGTTAGATAAATTTAATAATATATTTTGTCAATTTTTTTATCGATTTGTTCCGCTGCGGACTATTACTATTAAAAGTTCCTCCTGTCCTTGGCTAAACCCTCAGATTAAAAGAAAGATAAATTACAGAAACAAAAAGCATGCAGTATGGAAAAAGTTTCCTTCGACCTATAACTGGATGCGGTTTAAATTAGCTAGAAATTTAGCTGCGAAGGCAGTAAGCATGGCTAAATCGGCGTTTTATAACATTAAGCTTGACACTACACAGCCAACAAAGAATATCTGGAGAAACATTAAACATTTGGGATTAAAGCAAGATAGTACAACATATTGTGAACTAAGTCCAAATGACCTAAATGACTACTTCATTTCGTGTATTAATGTAAATTGTAAAAATATTTCTTCGACATTCCCAATTTCTAATGTATGTATTTCCAATGAGAGGTTTAATTTTATAGGTGTTAGTGAAGAAATAGTCTGTAAAATAGTCTGCTTGATAAATATTAAATAAAATGCCGTTGGATTGGATAACCTTCCTCTCAAATTTCTAAAGCTCACTTTGCCGTACATAATAGCTCCTATTACACATATAATTAATCATTGTATAACAACGTCAACCTTTCCCATTATGTGGAAAAAGGCTAAAATTATTCCAACTCCGAAGAAGTCTAACGCTTCGTTGACTTGTGATTACAGACCTATTAGTATTCTTCCATCACTGTCCAAAGTTTGCGAGATTTTAATGACTAATCACATTAATGTTCATCTTGAGCGTTTCCAACTCCTCTCTCCATTACAGTCTGGCTTTAGAAAGGGTCATAGCTGCTCTACTGCCATGCTTAAAGTTTTAGAAGACGTTCGACTTAGCTATGATAATGATATGATTACTCCATACTATGGAGTGTTGATCACTCCATACTATGAAAGAAATTAACTAATTATTTTTTGTTTTCGTACTCTGCCTCTAAATTTATATATAGCTATTTAACAGGGAGATCGCAGACTGTATTCTCTGCTAATAAATATTCGAATTTTAAATCGTTGCCTACTGGTGTTCCACAAGGGTCAATCCTAGGCCCACTACTCTTCTCAATATATATAAATGATGTTTTCTCCATATGTAAATACTCCAAATTACATGCATATGCAGATGATATTCAGATGTATCTTTCTAGTACTGTAGGTTTTTTAGGTGGCAGTGTTCGTAAGCTTACTGATGACTTAGAAAGAATTAATGCATGGGCAAAAGTAAACAACATGCTGCTTAATACAGATAAAACAATTATTCTGCCTATTGCGAGAAGAAAAACTATACTGGAGAAATTGCCTTTAATTTTAATTGGTAATACTACAATTGATTATAAATTATCAGTAAAATGCTTAGGTTTTTACTTGAACTCCAGCTTGAATGCCCGTGACCACATAAATCAAGTCTTTCGAAAATCAATTGTATCACTTAGATGTTTACAATTATCAGCTAAATATACTCCAATAAATCTTCGTTGTACGTTAGTAAAGCAATTAATAATGCCTATAATTATGTTTTCTAGTCTGGTTTACAGCAAACTTGACTCAGACTCCCTATACAAATTAAGAGCTTTAGTAAACTGCTTGACAAGGTATGTCTATGGACTCAGGCGTTTTGATCATTTAACTAGCTACAGGAATAATATTCTGGGATGTGATATTGAACAATTTATAAATAGATATGTTTGCATATTCGTATTTAAAATCGCTACGACCCAAATCCCTGGGTACCTTTTTAATAATCTATGTAAATTGCATTCACAGAGATCTATTCAATATTTAATCCCAAGAATCAACCACTCTTCTGTGACTAGTTTCTTTTTCATAAATGCGGTAAGACTCTAGAACTCGTTATCTAGTGATACCAGAAACGCAAACAACTTACGGTGCTTCAAAAAGTTAGTTTTACAGGAACTGTCTTAGTTTATTATTACCATCTTGTATTAATTAATATTGTTTCATTCTTATTTCTTTATTTTGATAATTTTTTCTTTTAATTATTAATATTATTTTTGGCTTTTTTAAATTTTTTTTTTTACTGTTCGTTTTGCCTTTTATTTTGATTTCATTAATAAATACTCTTCTTTAATTTTTCTCTTCCATTATTTCATTGTTATTATGATTATATTTTAATTTTTTTTATAATTAATTTTTAAGCAATAGTTTAATTAGTATATTTAATTTTATTTGTTAGTTTGTAAGTTAGTATGTAAGATAGTGCATTAAAAGGGTGTTCCTCATAGCACTTTATTAAATAAATAAAAAAATAAAATTTATTTATAACCCTGAATCTGTTCGTATAATAATTTTAAGACCGGTTAATTTTATTTTAATTCCTTTATTTATTATTTTCAAATTAATTTTTACAATATTTGTAACTAACATATATTGCAATTACAAATATTGAGAATTATTATAATTTCTGTAATAATAAAGAAAATCTGACCAATGGTGGACTAGGAACCAACACTACCGACAAGGTGTTACCGATTGGGCTACACTGGTGGACTAGGAACAAGCGCTACCGACAAGACTGCGTTGCTAAAGAGTCAGTGTTACCGACTGGGCTACACTGGTGGACTTGAACCAACGCTACCGACAAGGCTGCGTTGCTAAGGAACAGTGTTACCGATTGGGCTACACTGGTGGACTAGGAAGCAATGTTAAATTTCTTAGTTACCTGGGTGAATATTACCTATAGTTCTGCCAAGTGTTCTGCTCCGTGGCCTGTGATCATGTGCCTTTATGTTGATTAACTCCTCCTTTTATATAAATCTCGTAAAACGGGACTTCTAACTGCCGAATGCACATTGTGTAGCTTTCTTCTTAATTGTTATTGGCTATTATAAATGCCTGCGGCTGGTATATTTACTGTTATTGTTTGCTGCACATTTATTAAAAATTTGGCAAACCACTTACACTCAAACAAAAAGAAGTGTTATCACTTAATTTATATTTTAAGAAGGATTACATTTTTTTTTTTTTTTAATTTTTATTAAATTAATACTAAATAATATTGATTTTTCATACTAACTTAATAATACCTTAATTTGAAACTTATTAATACCTTAATTTTATTATTACCTTATACTAACATTTTGTTTTGTGTTTATCTTAACTAATAATAAACAATTTCTCTTCAACTAAGAATAGCTTAATTCTATTGTTGTCTTATTATAATTTTTTATTGTTTTTCTTTTTTTTTTTCTAGTTTTACATTAATAACAATGACTATGCATTGTGCATTGCGATTTTTGTGACGAAATGGTAAAAGTCGTAACACTCCCTCCCTTCATTGGAAAGGAGGAACGACCCGAAGGGCACCAGAATTTGTTATTAACACCTTATGCTTCGTTGCTTCGCGTTGCACAAAAAATGTATGGCGACGACCTCGCTTTAGCTTGTGAGCGTCCTTTTTTATCTTCTCCTAAAGTTTTGCGTATGGTGGCTCTGGGGCTAGCGGTGAAATTGGTCGCTGCTGGCATATTTCTTTGACCTCTTTCATAAGGTCTTCAGCGGCTGTGATATCTAAAAAATCGGTGTCGTTGTTTTAAAAACTGGGTCCTTGGTTTGGTTCGTTCAATTGTTTCAAGACGCTTTCGGTATTTTTGAATATTGGTGGTGAGCTTTCTAATCTGTTCGGGATTATTGACTACTATTTTACTTGGTTTTAGAGTAGTGTACTCTATTGGACAATTGCTGATCCGCTATTTGATATTCATCTTGCTATGTCGCTTTATAATGTTCAACTAAATTCTCGTATAATTGTTTCCGCGTTTTATAGGAGTTTTTATTCTGTAGATCTCGTTAATCCTGCTGCGGTACATTCGGCATTTTAAATTATTCGTGGTAATATGTTTTTAGTTCGCTAATATGAGCTCTACTCTCTTTATGTGTTTGCATATGCTTGAGTTTGATAATGACTGATGATATAAAATTGACCACCTGATAGGGTCCTGAGAACTTAGGTGCCAGTTTTGTAGCAAAATGAGCCTGAGCGTTGAATAGAGGATGCGTTTTAGCAAAAACCATATCGCCAATCTCTGGTTTCCGTGCCCTATTTAGTAAATTATAGTGCTTGGCTTGGTCTTGGGAAGCTGACTGTAGGTTAAGCTTCACAATTTGTTGTATTTCATGCATTTCGTGTTGCTTGGTTTCAGGGGGTATCGGTGCGCAGTTTGTTCCAAGTGTAGGTTCATCGAAGAGTGCACTTGGGAGTCTGGGGGTTCTTCCGTGTATAATATAAGCTGGACTGTAACCCGTAGATGTGGATACACTGGAGTTGAGTGCTAACATTATTTCAGGTAGATGCTCGTCCCATTTACGTTGCTCTTGTTCTGACACTTGTGTGATTATTGTTTTTAACGTTCGATTGGTGCGTTCAACCCGATTCTCTTGGGAAGTGTATGGTGCTGTAAATTGGTGACGAAAGTTTTCGAGAAACTGCTTCAATGCTCTACTATTAAACTGTGATCCATTGTCTGTGAGTAAAACCTTTGGGACTCCAACTCTAGCTATTATATTTTCCCGTAATGCCTTCTTCACTCCATTTGTTGTAGCAGATTTGCATGAAGCATGAAGAAGCATGTCATGTGAAAGTCATGACATGATGACCTTTCATGTGGCATGATTCAGCACACAAACTAAGAACTGCCGCCAACGCACAGGTTGAAAGTAGAATCTTCGATTCCTGATCAGTCGTTGAGGCTTGTTAGTGCACTTTAATAGACACTTGCTAATTGGTCAGTTCTCTAGGAAAGTGCGTCTATCTATCAAACCAATGACTCGCCTTCAGTACGGTCATGTCTCTGCTGTTCGTGGGTCGCCGATTGTCGGGTGGGGGAGAAGGAAAACTCCTAGAGCAGGGTCTGTTCATATTCCAAGTTAGCAATGCTAGGTCTTGATAGCAAACAAACCCCCTAAACTCACAGTGGGACAGCTATGCTGGTGAACTTGCTTGACGGGGTAGAGTCAAACTTAATAGCGAACTCCGTACCAGGTCTGGCAAACCTACGGTTTCAATTTGTCCTTCCCATGGGAGGACAAATGCTCATGCTCATGGGTGACCAAGATGCACAGTTTATTAAAGCTTACTTTTTTTATGGATTTAAATACACTAAACTCTATGGACTGCACACCTTTAAATGTGCAAAATATGGCTTTACAAAGCCAAAACTCATCACTAGCCGAGCGGGAACCTGGTACCATCGTCAGTGAACGAATGGACCACGACTTGTTGGAGGGGGCACCTGGTCCTCTACCCGACAAGCCGGAGGAGATGGACATTCCACTTAGCCAGGAGTCGGCTGGAATGTCTGTTTCCTCAGAACAGGAGAGAGATCTTCTTGAGCCTGGTCCAACCAAAAAGACTCAAACGAGGGTGAAGCTATCCGGCGCTGGACGCAAAAGGTTGAAGGCTTTACTTGCCAAGGGCATTCCGCTGGAAACAGCAAGGTCCTTGGCAGTATAGCCGGCCACCGCGTCCAACGAAGGACTGGCAACACCTAAACGATCCCGATCGGACAGCTCTACACCAACATCGAGCTCCAAACCGACAAAGCGAATTGTATTACAGGGCAAAAAAGTTGATAACAAATCAATAGTGCCTGCAACTGCTTTGTCGATTTTCAGCAGGATGAAGGAAGTAGAGACCTCACACGGTGGCAAACCTGGTTCCTGTAAAGAGGTGGCAACGGTATCTGTGGGGCAGGCTGAATAAAGCGCTTCTTCCGAAGACTTCTGTTCAAAAAAAATCCAGCCAGGCATCGGAGGGTGTGACTTAAAAGGACACAAAAACCCTGAGAAGCTCCTGAGCGGTGCCGAGTAGACGCCGGTTCTTAGGAAGCGTCCCCCATCCCGGGATGGCAGTGTGGGATATCCAAGTGCACAGAGAGTGGTTTAACAGCTGTGCACCATCGAGGGATACAAACGAGTGCACGATCGCACAATTCCAAAAATTCTGTAAGTATTGCTTTTGGTGAGTTTATGGCACGCTTAATTGCTGTCTCGTTGGTGAAAAATACGCGTTCTCCGCTTTTAAGATGGACTGCTATATGTGTAACTGCTGAGACCCGTTTATAAATTTGGAAACCAAAAATATGCCATAAAATTTCATTAGAGCTTATATACCGACCAATATTTTTTTTTTGTTTTTGAAATACATTTATTTTATTACAATCTGTCAGGTATGAATGACAATAAGTAATATATATAGTAATAATAATTATTAATATCTAAAAAAAAGAAAGACACGTATGGACTATGCCCAGTGACATATGCATATATATTTAAAATAACTGTGTGTGATCTACATATACATATCTAAAATATCTCTCGATGCTTTCCTTCTCAGTCTTGTAAAAGTGTTGGAAGGAGACATCAGGTGTGTAACCAGCGGGTTTGGGTGCTTATATATGCGATGAGCGTAATTCTTTAAAATACTGGCTATTTCTTCCTTGATTGTCCTAACATGTAATTGTTTATGCAGCTGTTCATTCGTTATATACCAAGGTGAATTTGTGATTGATCATTCGCAATGTTTTAGATTAGAAACGCTGGATAATTGCCAGGTTTGAGTCTGCTGCGGTACCTCATAATTGGGCTCCATAAGTCAAGTGACAGTTTGGTGACAGTATCGGCTGAGGAACCAAAAAAGTTTCGTAATTTAAGACGCAGGGCCTTACGCTTTTTGAATATGTGTGATTTCCAGGTTAGCTTACTATCCAGGGATGACTCAGGGAGGAGTCTGTTTTGTTGAATAATTGGTGTAAGGCACTTTAGAAACAGGATTTCCATAATAATTTTGCATAAAGGTGGTTGATAAGCAATCGGTCTGTTATTCTTTCTTATGGCTTTCCAAAGGGAGTAATTTGTATCACATGAAGTAGGGACGTGCGATTATTGTTATACTTTATAAGTAGGACTTATAAAGGTTAAGTTTACATAATTTGTTTAAGCGAGTTTTATCCGCAGAGAATCTCGTCTTTTGCCAATGTTTTCTCATCCTACGCTTTTCTTTGATCAGGTATCTAATGTTAAATGGATAATCTTGCTTAACACTTTTAGGAAACGGTGGAGTTGATTTCCATTCAGACATTTGGACACAAAAGTTGAAATGCTCTACTGCTTCAGTTACATCAGATTCAGTTTTCAACCTAACTTCGGTATTTAGACCAATTGTAATTAGTTGACGATAACTGTTCCAGTCGGTATTTTTGTTATGAAGAATGCATTCCATAATTTCACATCAGTCATTGAGAGCGATTATTATTGGCGAGTGGTCTGATGACAAGTCGAAATTGGACTTAAGGGTAGTAGTCTCGATACGTACTCCCTTTGATACCGTAAAATCAATTAAGTCAGGTATTTTTCTTCTATCCGTTGTCTAGTATGTGGGTTCACCTGTTTAGATTGTGTGTAGATTGAGTACATTTATTGCTTCGAAAAGTTGTCGTCCTTTTGGAGATATTAGGCGGGAACCCCATTTTAAGTGTTTAGCATTAAAATCTCCGTCTACTAGGAATCTAGATCCAAACAGCTGAAAAAATGATATGTACATATCCTTCGAGATACTGTGGCGCGGTGGGCTGTAGAGTGATGAGAAAGTCATGTCGCCTTCTTTAGTTTGTACTACAATGTTTGTTGCCTGAATTTCATTGTGTTTTATCGATTTCCTTATGATGACCGTAGAGCCTCCATTTCCTTTACCACTGCGACCAATATGGTAGCGCATTATTTCGTCGTTGCCATTTAATAGTGAAGTATTCACATCAGTATTTTAAACTAGAAACACAGCCATATTGCTGCCTTTATTCACACACCTGCAAATGTACTTTATGTTTTTCACCGAACTGCAGAAGTCAACATTGATATGAGCATTGAATGTTTTGCTCAGCAGAGGCTAAATATGGTACCACGCAACCATTGTCAATCTCAATTTCAGCGCTATTGATATTTAGCGTAAATGATTGTCCATTACTATCAGTATTTCTTCGATGATATATTGGATATCCGTCTACATATCGTGTCGTTGGTAAAATGTTTTGGAAAATGCTTTGTACACTTTCCATCTGTCGCGCAAAGTGATAAATAATTCAGATCACCGCATGAGCCACGAATCATGTTTTTAGTAACAATAACGAACAGTAGTCGATCGGTACACGGATATGAAATTTCCGCAGAAATCACACTATCGGTTTCCGCACGGAGTATTTTTTCGACCAACCGAATTAAAATGCGCGAATGAGGTAATCCTCTCTTTTGGCACTCAGTCGAATACATCCAATAATGAGTTGGACCGAATACTTGTAATTTTAAAAAACTTAATTTTTTTTTTAAATACACTTGCTGTAATGTTTTGATGATCTGGCAATAGCAAAGATGTGATCTCCCGCCACTTAGAACTACATGTAAACGTAATAAAAAAACATTGTCGCTCATACTCACACACGAAAGTCATAGCATCCTGTATGTATTCTTGCATACGACATGGACTGTTTACGTATGATGATGATTGAATGATGGAGTTGCCAATTCCGCCTGTTTCAATACCGCTCATGATAGCGTCTCGGTAGTGAATGTATTCTTCCGCACTCAGCTTCTGTTCATTATGTCGTAGGAATCGCAGTCGTTCGCTCTCAATCATGGCATCCATGTCGACCATGATTTTTTATTTTTTTTATTTATTTTATAATATTAAGTGCATTAAGTACATGCTTTTTATTGCACTATCTTAAAAGCTAACAATATATTCATTCAAGTATAATTTATTTAGAAAATTACAAATATTAGAACATATAATAAAATTGAGATAAAATATAAGTGTGCTATAACTTCAAATTGGATATTATTATATAATGATAAGGAAGTATAGAAATTAAATTAAAATTAACATTTAATTTAAAAAAAAAATAATATATTAAATTAGTTCAGTTAACAATAACTTTTTAAAAAGTCTTAAATTACATGCATTTCGAGTTGAAAAGCATTCCATAATCGCATTGAATGAATAAAGAAAAACCTAGTGGTAGCAACAACATTAAATCTTGGAATTATAAAAAGAAGAGATCTGTTGGAACGCATAGGCTGCAAGAAATTATAAAGGTACTCAGGATATTTAGTTGTTTTCAATTTAAACAGAAATAGGCAGATTCGAATATTTAAATACTGCTCAATGTCAGAACCCAGTAAAGCGTTTCTATAAACTCTTTTATGATCAAAACGTTTAAGGCCGTAGACGTACCTAGTACTGCAGTTTACTATAGTTCTCAGTTTAGCAAGGGACTCGCAGTCAAGTTTACAGTACACCAACGCGGCATAAGTAATTATAGACAATATTAGTTGTTTGACCAATAAGCCACGGACATGGACAGGGGTATACTTAGCAGATAAATTCAAATATCTGAGGCAAATAAATGATTTCCTAACGACATAATTGATATGATTAGAGGCATGTAACTTTGAATTCAAATTAAATCCTAGACATTTAACTGATGCATATTTAATAATTGTGTTTCCAATAGCTACTGATGGTAATTCGTTTAAGTTTAATTCAAACCTAGTAAGCGGCAATATGATGGTTTTATCTG